TTCTATGTTTTTAGCCTCTGCTACTGGAGCTGCTAATACCACATTATTTGCTCTGTTAGGTCATGGATTCATCAAAGACAGAGATTGTGTCTCATTTAGTTAATCCTTTTATACACAGTGACTAAATCAGCAGAAGAACTTCATAAATGTTTACTGTATAATTAGATACTCATTATTATTTTCTAGTTTTGGTTTTGCCAGAGGGGGTATGCACTTGCCAGAGAGATGGAGAGACAAAGAGGTATAAGAAGCAAAATCACTCTGCAATTTCTTCTCCATTTCCTATCCTGTTAGGATTTGGGGCACATATGCACATGTGCCCAGCATGTTTTTCAAGCCACTGGGGCTGGGATTCAAATTGTGGTCAGCCATATGGGATCTGGCTCCATTAGCCACTGGGCCATGGGTCTGGACCAAGATCAAGCCACTTTGTAATGTAGAAACAGCAGCAACAAGAAAACCCCAAAGAAAAAAAGCCATTGAAAGATGATTATCAGGTGACATTAAAATCAAGTTACTAAATGTTCATTTTAATCTATATTCAGACATTTGTATAGAGCCAGAAACGTTCTCTCTATTTTAAGCGCCTACATGTAATCATGCAACTGTAACAGCAACTTCAGGCTGTTTCTTCTTTTAGGTAATTTCCTTATTACTACCTTCTTACCTGCCCTCAGAAGGCGAGGCAGCCTTTAAACTACAGAGAACAGCAATGTAGCTCAGAACCAGTCTATGGTGTTAACCAGGCATTCCTCAGAAAAGAGACACATTCCTGGAGGGAGAGCATAATAGTAGCTGCAGTTGGTCAGGAGACTAATAAAAAGTAATTCTCCAAGTGTAAAGAAAAGTTGTGTGGGAATGTGCAGGGAGATTGTGGGTTGTTCTGCAACTCCGAGTGTGGAAGGGCAGTACTGGAGTTGAAAACAAGTGCAAATGACAGTAAGCCCCAGTAGGCACCAAGCTTGGGCAGGGGAAGTCCCGGCATCACTTTGCTCCAGGCCATCTGGCCTGTGTTTCTATCCCAGCAAGAAGGGAGTGGGCCTACATGAGCAGTCATGTCCTTTCTACGGCAGGCAAGACTCCAGTCATGCAGTTCTGTGCATGCTCATGCCAGGAAGAAACACCCTTTGACTTCGATGTCAGAGGGGCATTGGAAGAAGAAAGCAGGGGGAAAGCTAGGCAGATTTCTGGGACATTTAAAGAGCCAGGTCAAGGTCTTTCAGTTCTTCCATCCACACTCCTTCTTTTCCATCATAATGTCTGTCTGCCTTGCATCTTCTTTCAATGCAGTGAACGGGCAGCCAGAATGTCCATTGACTTCTCCTTTGTTGTCAAAGATCTTCAAATATCAACCTCAGTTGTATAACCAAGGCTTTCAAAAATATTAGATTACCCTTCGTACAGATTTTGCGGTTAAACAAAAGCCTGTGAAATTTCCTCAATTCAGAACTTCGTTAATTGCTTTACTTCCTTAGTAGTCTTGTGACCAGATGGGTGCTGAGAATCATGCTGTGGAGAAAATATGTTGGGTGTGAAGATATTTTCCAGCACATGCAAGCGTAGTTAACTGAGATATGAAGCATTATTGAGTTTGAAGGTAAATCTAGGACAAACCTTAGAAAGTACCAACTTTTAGGGTGAATTGCTAAAAAAACCAAAACCAAAACAAAAATAAAACAAAACTAAAACACCTCAGATGGTCTATGATTACATACAAATTAATTTGCAAGTACATATTGTCATACTCAGCATCACAGACACAAAATATGAAGCAGTAACTAATTTGGAAAAAAATGTAAGGCTAAAAATAGACTAAGTTGAACAAGAGTGGGCATGTGTTTGATTAGCCCGCCCTAACTTGAGGGACAACTTAGTAGAAATGGTAAATATATTATAGTAGGAAGTGTACTTTATTCTAGACTAGGTACAAACGTAATTTGATCTCTTAGTTTTCTCATCTGTAAAAGGGGTGTGATAGAGTTGTAGGATTAAAGCTAATATATGTAAAATATTTATCACACATGAGGCACATTTAAAAAAAGGTAACCAGCAGTTAGTGTAATGACTACGTCGCTGAACTCCATGTAGCCGATTGCAGTTTGAGTCTCAGACCCAGTGTCTTAAACTCACACTGGTCGCGTGTGCATGCATGCCCAAGATCCTGAGAGGTGAATGGAGGAGAAGGGATTGCGGTGTGGCCATCCCCTCTGAGGGGTTATTTCTCACTTTCTGTCTCTCTGTCTCTCTCTGCCTTTCTGGGGAGTGCATGTGCCATATAGGAAAAATCTCTCCAAAAAAAAAAAAAAAAAAGGTTACCCAATGTCATTTTGAATTAATTTGTGAAATAAGCCCACTTTACACTGGGAAAATGTTAAAACCAACGTATACCATCCAATTCCATGCAATAACTATTTCTGAATGCTAATTGTGCACTCCATGTGTTATGATAAATACACATATAAGGAGGAGGCTTACATTTTCATCTTGGAAATACACACTACCTCTAGACAAATGGACAAAACATTTCATTTGAGAGGCATAGGTTCAAGATAAGATCTATATAAGTAGTCTTGATACTTCTGGAATTAGTGGGGTTGGGGGAGGCAAGAAGTCTGTCTTATGGAAGTCATTTTCTTATTTTTTTTTTTTTTTTTTTTTCTGCCAAAGAGTGCTTATGCTTGGTAGAGAAAGAGGGAGAGAGAGAAAGCACATATGGGGCACGGTCATGTCGCAATCCTTTTTTCTCCATTTCCCATCACATCAGGATTTGGGGCACACACTTACACATTCCTGGCATGTTTGTCAAGCCACTGGGGCTAGGATTTGAATACAATACAATCAGTCAGGTGGAATTTAGCTCGCTATGCATAGAGCATAACCACTGAGCTGCAGGGCTAATCCTGACTTTGGTTTTATATTATCTGTGGTTCCACACTCTGAAAAAGAGCGTTGAAGCCAGTAACTTCTAAACCACCATCTTTCAAGATCTCTTGAACAATGTTAATGACTGACTAATATTAAGTGCCTCAAGGTCTGCAAATTGCATGAGTCAAAAGGGAGTAAGAATATTAACAAGGGACATGACCCGTGACAGTGTGCTGGGCATAGTGTCAGCCACAGAACACCAAAGGGAGAGGATAGACAATGGACTTAAGCAGAACCAGGTCAGCATGTGGAGCAGAATGGAGAATGATGTTTTCCTTGGCTGCTAACTTGATCATAGGGGGTGGTAGCCTTTGGTCTTATTTTACCTAAATAAGGGAGTTCTACCATGAGGTGTGTAGAATCATGTCTTCCAAAAAGTATGTTTAAATTTTAGTATCAACGGATGGCATAATGCTCACATCGCTGGACTCTCATGTAGTTGACCGCATTTGAATCCCAGACCCAGCGACTTAAAACTCACATGTGCGTGCATGCCCAAGATCCTGAGAGGAGAGTAGAGGAGAAGGGATTGCAGTGTGGCCATGCCCCCCTGCAGTGTGATTTCTCACGTTCTGTCTCTGTCTCTTTCTATCTTTCCAGTGAGTGCATGTGCCCTATAGCAAAAATCTCTCTTAAAAAAAAGAAAAAGTATGTGTAAGTCTAATCCCCATAGCTGTGAATATGACCTTATTTGGAAATAAGATCCTTGTGGATGTCATCAAGTTAAGACAGGTCATACTGGTTTAGAATGGGAAATTTGGATACAGACATGGAAGATACAAGGAAAATGTGATGACAGAGGCAGTAACTGTAGTGATTCATCTATAAGCCAAGGAATGTCACAGGTTTCTTGTGACCCCCAGACCTGAGAGAGAAACATGGTTCAGAATTTCCCTGAGAGCCTCCAGAATGAGCCAACTCTGTCCCCACCTTGATATTGAGTGTCTATCCTCCAGAACTGCGAGAGAACAGTTCCTCTGTTTCAACCACCTGGTTTGTGGTAATTTGTTATGGCAGCTCTAGGAAACTAATTCACACAACTAATAATTATATTGAATCCCATATTTATTTTTGGGAATGATGATGACCTTAGTTTTCTGGTTCTTAATAACATATTGAATAATTGTGTCTGATTATATTATTGGTATTCAAAATAAGAATTTTTTGTTTATCCTATTTTCCTCCAGTCAACATTTTCTCTTTCTTTTTGGTTATAGGCTGTTACCAGTTTTACAATGGAATCTCTTGTTTCTGCAAACACCAAATTTTGCTTTGATCTTTTCCAAGAGTTAAGCAAAAATGATCGTCTTAAAAATATGTTTTTCTGTCCTCTGAGCATCTCAGCTGCCCTTGGTATGATCCGCCTAGGGGCTAGAAGTGATAGCGCCCGTCAAATCGATGAGGTATATATCCACGAAGGTACTGCACCGGGTCCTGAGTGCCGCGTCCACACTCGGAGCCAGATTCTTACCCCACTCAGGCATGCTGGGGTGCTCAATGCGCCCTGGACTTGCTTAGAGCCCGTGCCTGTCTCCTCATGCTTTCTCCTCAGTTCTACCATTCTTGTTCAATCAATCTTCCACCTTCTTTTTAGTGCTCTCCTCTCATCCCATCTGACAGCTCTTCTCATTCATTTCTGTCTCCGTCTTTGTCTGCATGTCTGTCACTCTTTCTGTAATTATTGCTACGCGTTCTACTAGTAATTTTAAATACATGTATGTTTTTTCTCTTTCATTCACTCCATTAAATAAGCATTAGTTAAGCAGTATCTACTACTAGACCTTGGCACTCTCTTTGATTCTTTTTCTTTTGATTCACATCATAGTTTTCAAAAATTCTGTTGGTTTGTCTTTTGAAACATATCCAGAGTCCAGGCACTTCTTGCAGCCTCGCTGAGACCTAGGTGTGCATTTTACACTTATTGTCAGTTCAGACTTGCCATCTACAAAACACTCAATAGCTGCATGCTATTGGTGCTTCTGTATTCTTTTAGCTTAGTTATGCTTATTATTTTTTTCTTTTTCTTTTTTTTTTGCCTTAGGGCACGTGTGCTCAAGAGAGAGAGAGAGAGCGAGAGAGAGAGAGAGCGAGAGAGAGAGAGAGCGAGAGAGAGAGAGAGCGAGAGAGAGAGAGAGAATATGAGAGGGAAAGAAAGAAATAGCTTCTGAAAGGATAGCCATGCCACAATTCCTTCTCCTCTATTTTCCTCCTGGGATTTTGGGCATGCATGTACACATTCCTGGCATGAATTACACGCAGCCACATCCATGACTCGAACTGCAGTCAACCCTGTGAGAGTCCAGTGCCTTAACCGCCACACTACCTGTTGGTGCCTCAGCGTATTCTTAAATGCAGTCTTGGTAAAATCAGTTACTTCTCCTCCTTCCCACCTCACAACTTTCTGTAAAATACTGTTGACTGTTCAGTTTCATAATGTAATCATTATGAAAATGTTTCTGAAGCTATCCAGACTTCCTATTGTTCATATTGTCTGAAAGCCTCTATCCCATTCTCATGCAGGTACTACACTTCAATGAACTTTCCCAGAGTGAAAGCAAGGAACCTGACCCTTGTCTGAAAAGAAATAAACTAGAAGTGCCCGCTGACAGCTCTCTGGAAGGGGAAGAAAATACAAAGGGGTCTCTTAATCTTCAGGTGAGCCACTCCCAATACTCCTACCCCTTTATAAACTGCTCATCCAGGCAATGACTGCTGCTCCCCAAACGTTAGATCCTGGCTGCCACCAACAACAATAACCTCATAATCCATGATTCCTTTCTGATTATGTGTCTTAAATGTCCTTGACCATGTGCTAGTTTCTTAAAGAGTAGGATCTAGTATATTTTATTGTATTGTATTTTATTTTATTGTAAATTATTTAATTTTATTTATCATTATTATTTAATTTTCTATAAGGCACATGCACTCATGAGAGAGAGAGAGAGAGAGAGAGAGAGAGTAAGAAAGCAAGCCACAAGGTCTGGGACTTGAACCACAGTTGTCCATGTGGGAGTCAAGAGTCCCAACCACGGGAACCAGCAGTTAGCGTAATGGCTATGTCGCTGGACTCCCACGTAGTCGACCACGGTTCACGTCCAGGACCCGGTGGCTTAAAACTCACGCCGGGCATGTGTGCGTGCGTGCCCAAGATCCTGAGAGGAGAATGGATGAGAAGGGATTGCGGCATGACCATCCCCCTTGGGGGGTGATTTCTCGCTTTCTGTCTCTATGTCTTTCTCTGTCTGGCGAGTGCACACGCCCTATAGCGAAAATCTCTCTCAAAAAAAAGAAATAAATAAGAGCCCCAACCACCATGCTACCTGCTCACCCCAGGATCTAGTGTCTTGTATGCATGATAAAGAATCTTAGATCATAGTCCCATTACTCACCTGCTTCTGCAGGCCACAAGGTCCCAGGATGGAGTGTGGTTGAAGATGATGAGTAGTAAGGAGTATGGATTACCTGTGGAATTCTTATTCTCTGCTGTCATGTATTTTGGCCTGAAATCTGTGCTAACACACAAAACTGTTATTGGTTGTCTTACACCAGAAGCAGGAACAATATTTTTCAGGTTATTCCTATTTTAGAATGTCTATGAGGAGTGTGGAGAGACAATTATCTTTTGTTTACATGTGGAAAAAGCCAGGTACCGCAGTCTGAAGGAGAGTGTGCATGGCTGAGTTCCTACTTATTTTCCCTGGATGATCTTGATCCAATGGGGGAGCCAGGATCTTCCACTTGTCACTCTCCAACTCTCTCTTCTTCCCATGTCACTTTCCTGTATGATAACACAGAGAAATGACAGTTCACTAAGCAGCTCTAACTTGCTTCTGTAAGAAATATCTGTTCTTTAATGGTTCTTAGACATTATAATCACATTTCAGTTCATATTTTGTTTCTTCTTTTGTTAGGCCAAGTCCTCAAAGGATGAGAATCAACTTCTCAGCTGCTACTTTGAGCAACTTCTCTCCAAATTAGACAGGATCAGAACTGATTACACCCTGAGTATTGCCAACAGACTCTATGGAGAGCAAGAATTCCCAGTCTGTCCGGTGAGTTCTGTGTATAATGAGTGATTAACGCTGTCATCGATCATGCTATTTAAAAACAAGTGAGTAGCTGAATTACTCACCTGCCTCTGAAAACATAGATTTTTTTTTTTGATGGATGTGCTGTGGACTGGGGGAGGGGGGGAGGGAATGTCCAGGACCCATTGCCTTTTTTTTGGGAGGGGTTTTGTTATAGGGTGCATGCACTCACCATAAAGACAGAGAGAGGCAGAGAGACAGAATGTGAGAAATCATCCCCCGGAGGGATGGTCACACCACAATCCCTTCTCCTCCATTCTCCTCTTGGGATCTTGGGCATGCACACACATGTGCCCAGCATGAGTTTAAGCCACCGGGTCCGGGACTCAAACTACGGTCGACTACATGGGAGTCCAGCAACCATTACGCCAACTGCTGGTAACCATCCAGGATCCACTTCTGTCTGTCTTACACTTTTGTTTCCCTTATCTCTACTTTCAAGTTGAACAGCTTACGAGGTCCATTGTGAATGAAATCGAGTGGGTGGAAAGAGGTCTGAGTGAACAATGCCTTTGGAACACATGTGGGTTTTGTAATGGCATTCTCTTGTGACCCCTTTTCCTGATCAATGCACTTTGTCGTTCCTCTACTTGTTGGCTGTCCCCAGGCATTTAAAAAATCATCTTTGGTGTCATAATCACCTTCCCAATTACCCCTCCACCACTCCGCGCTCTCTATGCTCTTTCAAGGTGGAGTGGTGTCCCAGGGAGACTGCATCTGGAGCCAAAGGCCCAGGTATCATCTCTGTGACTAAACGACTTTATATCTGGAGCAAACTGTGTTTCGTTTTGGGCTTCGGTTTCCTCTCTAGTCACCAGAAGGCACCACATCCTGAGCAGTAAACATGAAGGATATGACCACAGGCAAATAAGTGACATAACCAGTTAGGTCTGCATGAATCAGGGGAGAAGAATGGGCTAGTTTTGATTAGATTGCTGTGTTCTCTTTCAATGTAAATGAGATGTAGTGTTCTGGTTTTATTAAAAAAAAACAAGCTTTTTTTTGAGTTTAAATTCACATACATGATTCTCCTATTGAAAGTGTACATATCAATGATTTTGGTGTACTACATTATTCATTTGTTAAAAATTATGGTAAAATACAACATAGAATTTGTCATTTCAACCGCTTTTAAGTATATTATTCAGTAGCTTAATTATGGTCACAATGTTGTATAACCATCATCCTATGTATTTCTGTAACTTTTTCATCATCTCAGATAGAGATCTTCAAATCTGCAACCATTAAGGTTTTTTAAATAATTATTTATTTAATTTCATTTATTCATTCACTTATTTTAATTTGACCAGAGAGAGACAGAGAGAGAGAAAGAGTGAGAAAGCAACCTGCCAGGTCCGGGACTTGAACCATGGTCAGTCATGTGGGAGTGTCCAGCACCTTAACCACCACGCCGTCTGCTGGTTCCAAAAGGGTTTTTAATTATTAAAAATGGAAGCATTTTACTGCTAAGTCTCTCAAATTACTTGATATTATTTTGTGTTGGCTACACAAATAAATTGTTCAAATATAATGAAAAGAGAGTTAGTAGGAAAGACTTGTACCCTGGTTACTGTAAACGCTTCATGAATAAGCTATATTGCTGGGACAACCAAAATGTCTGCTACTTAAGGTTGGAGTTGGAAGCACACATGTCTTCCAGTGTTAATGACAGGGTGTATCTTCTCATTAGGCTTCTGTGACCATCTCACTCCACTATTAGAAATTCCATATGATTTTATCATACTAATTTTTTTTGTATGTCCTCCAACTGAACAGGAGTTCTTAGAGGCTGTGATTAAATTTTACCATACAACTATTGAAAGTGTTGATTTCCGGAAAGAGACTGAAAAATCCAGGCAAGAGATCAACTTCTGGGTTGAATCTCAAAGTCAAGGTAAGAAAGACCAAACACACTAGCTGGTGTTCCTTTCCATCGAAAGAAAACTAGTTAGCCCAGCTTTTCAGATCACTAACGGATTGAGACAAGACACTCACCTATGTGGACTAGGTTCACAGACTGTTTTGAATAGAATCAAATAGCTAAAATGCTTTGATGTTACTGTTATTTATATTGATTGCCCTTCCGCTCTATCGTGAAAGTAAGATGTTGTTTTGCTAAGCACAATGTTAACTCAGTCAGCAAAGTGTTAACTCTTTCCATTAATACTAAAGGGTCAATAAAAAGCTAAGATTATAAAGGAGTTCAAGTTACTCAGAGTGAGAAGGAATGATAAAATACTGTTCTTATCAACTATTCACTAGATGTGTAGGTATTTTCTGAATGAGAGAGATAGTAGCAAGTGGTGGTGGTCTGAGTTTAGCGTAAATATTTTAATAATAAAATTCTTCTAGTTCTTCCCAACTCCTAGCAAATGGTAGCTCTAAATGGAAAAGAGGTCAGACCACGTGAGCATGGGGATCCTAAAGCTGTTCCTTCCCGATCACGTGTAAATACAAGCTGGTATCCCAGTTTGCTCGCCGATGGCCCCTAACACACACTTTCCTGGTTATTTGACATATACTTTTCTGGACACCGTGTATAGAAATGACCCACCGTGCCTCCTGGGCATTACTCTTTACAACTGTACTTATCTCCTACTCTTTAACTATCCTCTTTCTAATCTCCCCTTCATGTGTCCCAGTTACATGACTATTCAAAAAAACATACAGATTTTACAACTTTGGAGTAATATTAGTGTTTGTGAAATATCTGTACCCTTCCTGCATTTAACTTGGCAGAGAAAGAGGCTGTTTATTTCTGAGGTGCTTGCCTTAAAACCAAATCAGAAACAAAATGAAATTGGACCAAACTGAAAACAAATTCGTTAAGTGGCTTTTTTGTTGATGGCCTCCTTGGCTTTCAGTAGCAGTGTCTTGATAATGATAGAGTAGGAATAAGAGGGATTTTGCCTTTAACAAATTCCATGATTCTCTGAAGCAATATTTTCTTTCTTTCATAAACGGGACCCATAGCATCATGTCGTAAATGGCTTCTCCTCACAGACTCTGCTTCAGTTTGAATATTTAGAATTCCCTTATTATGGAATGTGCTTTCTATGACATAAATGAATCACTGTCAATTTTTGAGTCACACCAGTGTTTCAGTACTGCACATTCAATCACCCAAAGACTCAAAACCCAACTTCCCTATAAACTATGTATTGAAATTGGAGTTCATCTGTCATTAGAATGATTTAAAATGCAATATTTGGGGCTTACAACATCTCCTCTGTGTTTGTGTGTGTGCGTGTGTGTGTGTATACACACATATATATGACTTAAAAGGTGTTTTTTTATTTGAGCCATAGCGAATTTCAAACCTACCATAGGCGACATGGCATCTTATATTTACTTGCAATTGATATATAAATTTACATTGCCTTAATAAGAGCTCGGCCAAATATAAATATTTTTATTGGGTCATTGGGAAAGTTATGATGCATTTTTTCATAGAAAGTCATAGAAAAATATGTCATGACTTTTCTGACGACCTAATAGTATTGCTTTATACAATGAACTAAAAACAAGGGAAGCTACAGATAGTTTCAGACAGGAGATGTTTTTAAAAGACGGCTCTCATAAAGATGGAGAACAGAGTGGAAGTGAGCAGAGTTGCATGTGGATACAAGTTTGGGAGTCATTGTGTAAGAGCAAGGGGGAGGCACTGGTAGCATGGACCAGTTGGTGGTAGAGGCGATGGTGAGAAGTGGGTGAGTGTGAGAGATACTAAGAGGATCAGATGGATCTGGGCAATCATTTGGCGAGGTGATGAATCGTTTAGTGAGAGTGAGAGAGTTACCAAGAATGACTTACAACATTGACTTGAGTATTTAATTCTTCAAAATGCAAAACCAAGTATATATATCCAAATAAACAAACTGCCATCTAACACATCATCTATATCTCATTATAACATATATTAAATATTTGAATGCAATTTTCAAACAATTGGGAGATTTTCCTATACACGAATAGGGGAAATATGCCTTATCCAGGATTGAGGCTTTTTTTTTGAGTTTTTTAAAAATGATAAAGTATTCTCGAATAAGGTTTCTGTCCTTAGATTTGAAGGATTATTTGTTGTAAATATTGCTGATTAAGGACTGGGCTCTTCATTCTGGATTTGCTTCTGAATTTAGCATAGTCAACTACTGAGAGGCCTAAACTTTTAAGTCTTTTTCTTTTCTGTTTCTTGTTATTTCCAGTGGTCCTGTCCCTCTACACCATCTCCCCACTAGATTTATCTCCCATTCCCCATGTCAGAGACTCAAACACCCAAATCTATGTTTCACAGGAGGAAGTGTTGGAATTTAGTGGAAAAGAAGGAAGGGACCATTCCCCTTGGTGCTGACACTCCAGACGAGGCTGAGAGAGTGCTCCCTTTCTACCAGAGCAGGCAGATTTGAAAAGCAGGATAAGCTTTTCCCCTTGGGCTTAAAGTTTATTTGCCTGGCTGGACACAAACCAGGAGATTTTTTTTTAAATTCCCATTGTGAGGTTGGGTATGATGTTCATGTGTGAGGAAAGTTTGGATCACACGAGAGAACACAGGTAGTGCATTGCATTTCCTGCCTTCAGATAGTACCAAGACCCAGGGCATTTGTACAAGTTCCAAGTTTGGCAGCCTGGGAAAAATAGTTGACTTCAGGTTCTCTTTTGTATCTAGGCAACACTTTCTGCTCATCTCCTTCATTTTCTGGCTTCCTTTCTCTGTCTCCTGTTCTCCTCACACTGACTTAGGTGTCTTTCTTTTGGAGAAGTGTTCAAATTCCCAAATTATTTGTCCTCCTGCTTCCATATGCATGAAAGTTTCCTTTCATTCAAGTCATCTTTCAAGAGGGAGACAGTGCACTATAGAAATTTACATTAAGACCGGAATATAGTTTCTCCTTGTTGAGTTATCTTTCCCAAAGTTTTTCTAAGCATAGATAATGTCAACATAACCTATTATTCCATGGTTTTAAAATTTATTATTCAAGAGATCCTCTTGAAGTGGAAGGGTATTTTCTTTTTAAGACCTCAGTGGGTATCAAGCAACTGATGATTTGGAACTTTGAACTGGGAAATGGTGCAGCACCCTGAAGATGGATTTTTGCTGGATAGTGTTGGTACTATCCCAGTTTGTCTTATGGCTCTGTTATGGTGGAAGGAACTGCAAAGCCAAGGCAAAATCTGGAAGGTCTGAGGATTGCTCTTAGCTATGTCTTGGCTGCATGGCTCACCTCTCACTAGCTGCAGTTTATTCTTCTGTATAAAAGGGAAGACAATACCTCCTTCTCATGACTTATATAAGATGAAATGAGAGAAGGCATGTGAGACATCTTAATATGTATTTTTGTTTATAGGTAAACACACATACTATTCTGAGGTGAGTGGTTAAAATAGGAAGTTTATACCATAGTTTTTTTTCTCTATGAGACTATCATATAGTCAGGTTACTGTGCCTTTTACTGAAAGATATATCATGATATAAGGTATCTTATGACAAGTTGCAATCCCAAGTGATGTAGAGAATCAGAAGAGAATTTTTTACGTGGCATGCTCTGGATCCGATCCCCTTAAAGATGGGGTGAACGTCTTCTTCCCACCATCACTTCATCACTCCCACTCTTGCCTCCACTTTAACTTATTGAGAACTGTTACTGATTTAATTTTCTCTCTTTTTAAAATTTTATTTATTATTATCATAATCTTGATTAAATTACATTGAATCACATATATCTTTACAGCATATTACATTTCTTTTCTCGAAGGAATACCATGCATATCAGTCAAGACAAAGACATTGCTATCCACATCATCATCATCAAATAGCTTCCTTCAGCTCTACTTTGTTCAAGTTGTTCATATAAAGAAATGCTATAGATTTTTGAATATTGATTTTGTATCCTGCCACTTTAGTGTATGTATTTTTTTATTTTTAAAATAATTATTTTAATTTAATTTTATTTTTATTTATGCATTCAATCACTACATAATTTAGATTGTAAAGAGACTTTATCCAGCGTAATATACACCTCAGTCCTGTATTCATTTATTATTTTGAGAAGTTTTTTCATGGAAACCTTTGGATCTTCTAAGTATACCATCATGTCATTTGCAAAGACAGATATTTTCAGCTCTTCTTTGCCTATTTAAATGCCTTTTATATTGGTCTCTTTTCTGATTGCATTGGCTAAGATGCATGGGCTAAGACTTCCAGCACTGTATTTAAAAGCAGTGGAGAAAGGGGGCAGCCTTGTCTAGTACCGTTTTTTTTTTAGCAGAAAGGCTTTTCCCCACTCAGTATTATGTTAGCTATAGGTTTCTTTCTTTCTTTTTTTTTTTTTTGGAGAGGTTTTTTTGCTATAGAGTGCGTGTGCTCGCCAGACAGACAGAGAGAGACAGAGAGACAGAAAGTGAGAAATCACCCCCAGAGGGGATGGCCACGCCACAATTCCTTCTCCTCCGTTCTCCTCTTGGGATCTTGGGCATGCACGCACATGCATCCAGCGTGAGTTTTAAGCCATCAGGTCCGGGACGCGAACCGTGGTCGACTACGTGGGAGTCCAGCGACATAACCATTATGCTAAGTGCTCGTCCCCTAGCTATAGGTTTTTCATACATGGTTTTTATTGTGTTGAGAAATGACTCTTCTACACCAATCTTACTGAGAGTCTTAATCATGAAAGGAAATTGTATTTTGTTAAATGCTTTCTCTGCATCAATTGAGATGATCAAATTTTTTAAAATCTTTATTTCTGTTAATATGGCGTATTATATTTATGGTCTTGTGTATGTTGAACCACCCTTCCATGCCTTGAATAAAGTCTACCTGGTTGTGATGAATAATCTTTGTTATGTGTTGTTGGATACGATTTGTAAGTATCTTGTTGAGAATTTTTGCATCTATATTCATCAGAGATATTGGTCTGTAGTTTTCCTTTTTTTGTCATGTCCTTACCTGTTTGGGGAATGAGGGTGATGGAGGCTTCATAAAATGACTTTGGAAGGTTTCCTTCCTTTTGAATCTTTAGAAATAATTCAAGTAGGATAGGGGTTAACTTTTCCTTAAATGTTTTATAGAATTCAGAAGTGAAGTCATATGGACCTTGGTTTTTCTTTCTCAGGAGGTTACTTATTACTGAGTCAATCTCATGGATCTGTTATGGCTCGTTATGGGTCTCTTCAGGTTTTCTATGTCCTCCTGATTTAATCTTGGTAGATTATATACATCCAGGAATCTGTCCATCTCCTCCATGTTCTCTTGTTTGTTGGTATACAGTCTATCATAGTATTCTCTAATGATGTTTTGTATTTCCATTATGTCTGTTGCAATGTTGCCTGTTTCATCACATGTTTGATTTATCTGGTTTCTTTCTTTCTTCTTCTTTATCAGTCTAGGCAGTGTTAGGGTTAGTGTTAGAGTTTAAGGATAGTGCTAGAAAAGGATTAGGGTTTGAGTTTAGGGATAGTGTTAGTTCTGTTCTAATCTTTATTATTTCTTTTTACCTGGATTTTTGTTGTTGTTGTTGTTGTTGTTTATCCAATTCCCTGAGGCATGATGTTAAGTTATCTATTTGCCACCTTTCCATCTTTTTCTTATGTGCACTAATTGCTATGAATTTCCCTCTTATGACTGCTTTTGCTGTGTCTCATAGATTATGGAAACTCGTGTACTAATTATCATTTGTTTCCATATTTTTTTTATTTCAGACTTAGTTTCTTCAGTAGCTAAGAAGTCATTAAGCAGTAGGTTGTTCTGTTTCCATGTGTTTGTGTATTTTTGAATGTGTATCTTGAAATTAATATTGATTTTAATTCCATCATAGCTAGAGAAGATGCTGGATATTGTTTTTATGCCTTTGAATCTGTAAAGGCTTGATTTGTGTCCTGTCATATGGTCAATCTTTGAAAAGCTTCCATGCCAGGATGAGAAAATGTATGGTTTTTGTTTTTGGCTTAAGGTGGGAAGTTCTACAGATGTCTGTCAAGCCCATTCGATTTATAGTATCGTTTAGGTCCTGTATCTCTATTTATTTTTTGTCTAGAAGATCTATCTAAAGGAGATAATGGGGTGTTGAGATCCCCAACAATTATAGTGTTGCTCCCTCTCTCCCCTTTTAGCTCCAGCAGTCTTTCCTTCACATGTTTAGGTGCTCCTGAGTTGGGTGCATAGATATTTATAAGCATTATGTCTTTTTGCTGAATTAACCCATTTACTATTATATAGTGCACTTCTTTGTCTCTTTTTACAGTCTTTGTCTTGAAGCTTATTTTGTCTGAAATTAATATTGCAATTCCAGCCCATTTTTTAATTTCCATTTGCATGGATTATCTTTTTCCAGCCCTTCACTTTTAGTCTATGTATGTCTTTATCATAAGGTGCATTTCTTGTAGGCCACATATAGAGGGTTTCTGTTTTTTTATCCATTCGGCCAGTCTGTGTCACTTAATTGGAGAATTTAATCCATTAACATTGAATGTCATTATTGATAGTTCCAGACCTGTTCCTATATTAAGTGAGGCATTTTCTTGTTCATTTTTTGTTCTCTTATAACTGTCCATCTGACTTTTTAGTTTTCCTGGTATAGCACTTCCTTCAAAATCTCTTGAAGAGCTGGTCTGGAATTGTTAAATTCTCCCAGATTTTGTTTGTCTGACAATGTTTTTAGCTTTTTTTCCCATATGAAAGATAGTCTTGCTAGGTATTATATTGTTTGACATTGTTTTTCATTCAACACTTTTTCTATATTTTCCCATTTTTTTCCTTACTTGCATTGTTTCAGGCCAGAGGTCTGATGTTAGCCTGATGGGGTGACCTTTGTAAGTAACTTGATGTTTTCCCCTTGCCAATTTTGGTATCTTGTTTTGTCTGTTGTTTTTGCCAATCTGGCTATGATTTCCCTTGGAGAGGATCTTCTTGGGTTAATTCTACTTGGGGTCCTATGTATTCCTTGGGTATGGATATTTGAAAGCCTTTCTAGGTTTGGAAAGTTTTCCTCCAGGATTTCATGGAATAAATTATCAATGCCCTTATTATTTTCTTCCTCCTCTGGGATCCCAGTTATGTGGATGTTGGGGCTCTTGATAGTATCCAGTATTCCTTGTATATTATTCTCATTTTTCTTGGTTGTTTTCTCAATCTTCTTAATACTTTTTTCTAGGTCAAAGGTTTTGTCTTCTACATTTGAGATTCAATCTCCTGCATGATCTAATTTACTTTTTAATACTTTTTTTGGGGGGGGGAGAGATTTTCACTATAGGGTGCATGCACTCACCAGATAGACAGAGAGATACATAAAGACAGAAAGCGAGAAATCACCCCCCAGGGGGGATGGTCACGCCGCAATCCCTTCTCCTTCATTCTCCTCTAGGGATCTTGGGCACGCATGCACACGCGCCCGGCGTGAGTTTTAAGCCACTGGGTCTGGGACGCGAACCGCGGTCGACTATGTGGGAGTCCAGCGACATAGCCATTACGCTAACTGCTGGTTCCCTACTTTTTAATACTTTTGAGAGAGGTGTTAATTTCCTGTATCACATTCTTCATCCCTAACAGTTTTGTCTGCTTTTTTTAAGGTGTCTGTTTCTTCTTTCAGATCATGAAAGGGCTTCCTCATTTCCAGGAGCTAATCGTCTCTTTTCTCTTGCACCTCAGTTTGGTCACTACAAATATTCTGAATTACTAATCTGACATGTCCACAACTTCCATTGTGTTGTCTGTGGGTGATGTGGAATTGCCGTTTTTATTAGACTGAAAGTGTCTATGCTAATATTTTTTCTTTAACATTTGTTTAAATGTCAAAGGGTACATGCATTTCCAGAGAAATACTGAGTCAGAGAGAGAAAGTAAGAGGGAGAAAGAAACTTTTATTGTGCACGGTCACATCACGATCCCTTCTTCTCCATGACTCCATGAGCCACGGGTCCTGCCAGTTAGGGCCTACAGACACAGCCTGGTGTCAGACAAGGCCGCTGGTTTGAATCAGTTTCTGGATGGGGTGAGGAGGGGCGCAAGTTTTTCTTAAAGTCCGGAGACACAAACCTGAAATCCAAAGGCGAGTGGGGGTAGGGTAATGAGCCACGGGTCCCGGCTGTTAGGGCCTGCAGCCACACACAGCCTAGTGTCCGGCAAGGCCACTGGCTTGAACCAGTCTTCCTGTTTAATTTTCTTATATTAGTTTATGAATGAAACAATCTCTAGCATTTGAGACGTTAAGCCACATTGAAAAAAAAAAATCTACTGAGACCAGCAGTTAGCATAATGGCTCTATCGCTGGACTCCCATGTAGTTGACTGCAGTTCGAGTCCTGGAGCCAGTGGTTTAAAACTCACGACAGGCACGTGTGCATGTGTGCCCAAGATCCCGAGAGGAGAAGAGAGGAGAAGGGATTGTAGCGTGGCCATCTCCCCGGGGGGAGGGGTGATTTCTCACTTTCTGTCTCTCTGTTTCTCTCTGTCTGGCAAGTTCACGCGCCCTATAGAAAAAACCTCTCCAAAAAAGAAAAAAAAATCTACCTACTACCTGCATGACCCCACCTTTTTTTTTTTGGATACAATTCATACTCAGGTTATTCTCTGGGACTTTCTCTTTAGGTAAAATCAAGGAACTCTTCAGCAAAGACACTATCAGTGAGGCAACTGTGCTGGTACTGGTGAATGCTGTCTACTTCAAGGCCAAGTGGGAAAAGCATTTTGATTGTGAAAACACAGTCGACGCACCTTTCTCTCTTACCGAGGTACTGCAATACCTTTGCAATGGCTTTGTAGGTTTCTGTGTATCATTTCCACCAAGAATGACTTTCAGTAGGAATATTCCAACCTTAAACGTTTTGAGTTATGGCTTACATTTATAATGAGAACATTTTGCTATTAATAAAAACCCAGTCCCTGTAATTTATTGAGCATTTTTGTACCAACTATCTACTTTATTGACTACTTTCCATCTGTTTCATTTATTCCTCCAAATAACACTATGAAGTGCATGTTATTATTTCACTTAGGAGTTGATGGAAAAAAAATTGGCTAAGTTGTTTATCCACATTCATGTGGTAGGATTCACATCTGCAAACCTCAAAAACCCAGGTTCCAAGCCTCTAGGTTTAGAATGAGAAGAAAGTATAAAAGTTGGGTCCCCACCAACCACCTGTTAGTGGGGTAGCTTTATCCCTGGGGGCAAGTGTTTCTCTCAAATATTTCCTGTCCTCATCTATAGATTTATGGCCCCCAGTACCCCACTTCAAGATCATTGAGAAGTTCAAGGTGCCTGGCATGTTCCGCTTTCTTCTGAAGGAAGCCTATGACGCAGAAAGTGCTGTTATTTACTGTGCAGATGATCATATTTTCACCAGTGGCTCCCACTGGTGCTGTGGGGTGTGGTCTTCCACATTAGAAGGGAGAGGAGTGGCATGAGGCTAGAGGCTGGAGTGGATTAGGCATTGAATATGGAGAGCTATCAGGACTTGTTTCTGTGACTAGGCTGTGAGAAAGAAATGTTTGAATAGAGTGTCTACTAGCTAGTAAGTCTTGGGAGCTGAAGAACTGATTGAAAACATGGAAGAACAAAGTATTGGCAAAGTTAAGGGCCAACTGATGGGAGAGTTGGGGTGGACTCTCTTAGACTGGTGTGACTCAAGGCTTCTCATCTTAAATAATGCCTGTGCTCAGGGGTGTTGGGGCCACCTGGTTTGTGAGCTTGTTATGGCTGTCCAGTGACTTCCTATCTTGTCTACTGCAGAGTGAAAAGAAGAATGTGAAGATGATGCATCAAAAAGGTCTATTTAGAATTGGCTTCATAGAGGAGCTGAAGGCACAGATTCTTGAAATGAAATATACCAAGGGGAAGCTCAGCATGTTTGTCCTGCTGCCGACTTGCTCTGAAGATAATGTGAAGGCTCTGGAGGAGGTAAACCCATTTTCATGCCCCTACAAAATATGCAATTATAGACTGTTGGAGAACAATATTGCTTTCTATCATGCTGAGAAGAAGGGTGGCACCTTAGAGTTATCTGTTGGAGATATCAAAGAAAAATAATTAGAGTTAGATTAGATATTTATTCTTTATTTGTTTAGAGCTGAAGAACAAATTCCACAAATGCTAGAACTGGAGTTTCCTCTTTAATCCCTTAGCTCTCTGCAAGTGTTTTTTCAGACAAAGACATCTGTATTTTGAGTAACTTCAAAATTATAATAAATGAAAAAGTAAATAGTAGGTTTTTTTTTTCTTTTTCTACAGAGCATGTGTGCTTTCCAGAGAGAGATGTGTGTGTGTGTGTGTGTGTGTGTGTGTGTGTGTGTGGCAGAAAGTGAAAAACCACTCTCCTGGGGGAATGGCCATGCTGCTATCCTGTGGGGTGTGGTCTTCCACATTAGAAGGGAGAGGAGTGGCATGAGGCTAGAGGCTGGAGTGGATTAGGCATTGAATATGGAGAGCTATCCATTCTCCTCTCAGGATTTTGGGCATGCATGCACATGTACCTGGCTTGGTTTTCAAGCTGCTGGGCCCAGAGCTCAAATCATGCTATTGGCCATGTGGGATCCAACCTATTTAACCTCTATGCCAGCAGGCCCTGAAGTAGCTCCTCCCTGCTAAATAGTTTAAATTTTGGTCTCTTATTCAGAGTATTTTTCTGTAAAGGTCCAATTAAAACTTGTTAGCCAAATCCCATTTTTGGGTATATGTCCCTTTATAGAAGTATAGATAGTGATACTGGTACAGATTGCTTGTGAGATAGAAATTAATAAATTCTGGGGAGCTCAGCTACATTGTTCAAGGAGATAAAAAGTGAGAGAAAGGGAGAGAAAGAGTGAGCTACCAGTATAGTAACTATGATATTAATAACAATCATTATTCAAAATTTATTGTGTGTCAACACTATATTAAGTATTTTACATATGTTATTTTATTAAATCTTTGAAATAGCTAATTGTATTATCTCTGTTTTATAGAAGAGGCAATTTAACTACAGAATGCTGAGGCTTGGCCTGACTCACCCAACTAATCAACTGAACTTTGCTGGGTCTTGAATATTAGTCTATCAAATACCAAAGCATGCCGAACCCAAATTGTCCTATAGCTTCTGATGAAGAAGATATTTTTACTTGGAAAAATTTTAAATGAAATGGGACTATGTTGAAGCTTAGAGAAAGACCTGGGAGGTTATCACTGACTGTTGAAATGGACTCAGGCACTTAAAGTAATTGAGGTATTTTTGTAGATTCATACTCTGACTTCACATATTATTTATTTATTTTTTTGTAGCTTGAAAGGAAAATCACCCATGAAAAAATAGAGGCTTGGAGCAGCTCAGAAAACATGTCAGAAGAAACAGTAGCCCTCTCCTTCCCCCAGTTCATCCTGGAAGACAGCTACAATCTCAATGCCATTCTACAAGACATGGGCATTAAGGATATATTTGATGAAACGAAGGCCAACCTTACTGGAATCTCTCCAAGTCCCAATCTGTACTTGTCAAAAGTTGTCCACAAGACCTTTGTGGAGGTGGATGAGTATGGCACACAGGCAGCTGCAGCCACTGGGGCTGTCGGCATGGCAAAGTCAATGCCACGTTGCATTGAATTTAATGCTGACCATCCTTTTCAGATTCATACTCTCTGACTTCATATTATATTTATTTATTTTTTTGTAGCTTGAAAGGAAAATCACCCATGAAAAAATAGAGGCTTGGAGCAGCTCAGAAAACATGTCAGAAGAAACAGTAGCCCTCTCCTTCCCCCAGTTCATCCTGGAAGACAGCTACAATCTCAATGCCATTCTACAAGACATGGGCATTAAGGATATATTTGATGAAACGAAGGCCAACCTTACTGGAATCTCTCCAAGTCCCAATCTGTACTTGTCAAAAGTTGTCCACAAGACCTTTGTGGAGGTGGATGAGTATGGCACACAGGCAGCTGCAGCCACTGGGGCTGTCGGCATGGCAAAGTCAATGCCACGTTGCATTGAATTTAATGCTGACCATCCTTTTCTCTTTTTCGTCAAACATAACAAAACACAAACCATTCTCTTCTATGGCAGGGTCTGTTGTCCTTGAAAGAGGCACACTGTCTTACATGTGAAAGCTGCAGGAAAATGGCAATTTAATATCATGTACACCCATGTCTTCATACCTGTGTCAATATCTAAAGCTGACTGCATCCGTTCCAACTCCATGCTCCCTTCCTCCAGCTCTCAGCCTTGCTTATCCTGATCTTTCTCTCTGTGGTTGATTTTCCTCTAAATCTGTTTAATTTCTTTTTTCTTCTTTTCTCTTTCTTTTATTTCTTCATTTTCTTTTTGCTAGAGAGCAGGCGGAATCACTGGAGAGAGTAAAAGAGGGAGATACCATTCCTATGAGGATGGTCATGGTGCATTGCTCTCTTCTTTTCCTATTTCAATATATTGGGCACACACATGTACACACACACACACACACACACACACACACACACACACATGCACACACAGTATATTTTTTCAAGCCATCAGGTCCAGGACTTGAACTGTGGAGTCAGCCATGTGGAATCCAGCCACCTTAAGTACCACACCATTGACTAGCCCTAAGTCTGTTAATATCAAAGGACCCTGTCTCCGTCCCTAACTTTTCATCATCCTAAACTTTAGAGCATATAAACTCACCACTGTGACCTGCAGTCAACACAATTCCCATTGGTATTGATTTTATTTAAGTTACCTATCTCCCTGTGAAAGAATCTTGAAAGCTCAGGTCATTCTAATGCTTCTAGGAGATTGTAAACTCTGCAGCTATGTTAACATGGGTGGTAGGAGCAAATGTCTGCTTGGAATGCTTTGGAAATCCATTTTCTTTCTGTTTTTCTTTTAGTTTTTGCTGTAGGGCATATGCACTTGTGAGAGAGAAAGAGAGAGAGAGAGAAAGAGAGAGAGAGAAATTACTCCCAGAAGAGATGACCATACCTTGACCCCTTCTCAAATGATCTTCTTTCGTGATTTGGAACATGCATGCACACATGCATGGTGTGAATTTCAAGGTACCATCTCCAGACCTTGAACTGTGTAGTTAGCCATGTGGGATTCAATGCCTTAAATTCCATGCCACTTGATGTCCTAGTGTTATGCACATAGAAGCCCTTGCCAAGAAGTTCTTTGGCTTCATATCAAGTTCTAGTCTACTGAAGCTCTGATGTCTGAGTATTTAGACTTCTAGCCTGGACCTTTGTTCTCTGATACGACAGTGTGTTCTCTGCCTTAGCTGAACACTCTGGAATGACTACTTGCATGTGTAACTCTATAAATTGGTTAGTTTCTTTTCTGTAGAGCTGAATTTCTAGTCATGGTTGTGGCCCAGCTCCCCTGCCCTGCCATATGACTGCCTCCCTCTGACATTGTCTGGTGTTTCTTGCATTCTTATTCTTGTACTTGGTAAACATGTTTTCTCATTCATATTGGGGTTTCTCAGAATTTGAAGCATGTGAGGGGCTTTATCTACTTACAATGGTGAGAAAGAGGAAGAGTCAAAGCTTTCTACAGATTAGTAAGACATATTCTGTACTACTCTTATTATTAATTAAAATGTTGCTCCTTAGTGAGCAATGCATTTTTGATATTAGTTAACTATATAGTTTTTTGTCAACTCACCTTTCTTAGTGATATCAATTTAACTTTAAAAATGCCACCCCGAGGGACCAGCAGGTGGCGTAATAGTTATTCGCACGTAGTCGACTGCCATTCCAGTCCTCAACTCAGCCGCTTAAAACTCATGCTGGGTGCATGTGCGTGCATGCCCAGTCTCAAGAAGAGATTTGGAGAAGGGACTGCAGCATGGCCATTTCCCCCCCGGGGGTGGAAGTGGGCCTAATTTCTCATTTTCTGTCTTTGTCTCTCTGGTGAGCATATGTGCCCTATAGCAAAAATCTCTCTAAAAAAATTTTTCCCCCAAATATGGAAATGCATAATCTATAAAGTTAAAAACTCATCTTAGTTCCATAGGAAAAATTCATTTTGCCCCAGTACTAACTTCTCCCAAATTTTCATTATAATTGTAAGATATATATTCACAATAGTTCTAAAACCTCAGAGTGATACTCAATTGAACGTGATATGTGGAAGAAATTTCTGTTAATTACACATTAATGTGGTACACAAATACCTGTCAGTCTTCCAATGCCCTCCCATTACTGCCTTCCCCTGAATTCAGAAACACTAGATATTTTCCAATCTAAATCCTATCTATCTCTCTCTCTACTTTGTACTTGCTGGTGTTCCTCTGTCTTTCTCACAAACTTTTTCTTTTTCTCACCCTACAGCCATTTAAAACCAAATGAAACTCAATCACTATGACATAGGGGAGGGTGGGCACAAGCATTGGCTCTTTCGCTCCTAGGCAGTATTCATCACAAGCAAAATATTTTTGGTGAAGACAAGAACAGAAGGAACTCTGGTACCAACGTTCTTGGGCTTCTATATTTCAAATATCCTACCATTAATGTGTTACAGAGCTAGGTCATGCAGGTAGGAGAGGGTTCTACCTTAGTCTGGAGAACTGCGTTAGATGGAAGCCTATAAGACACTGGGAATTATGTTCAAAATTAGGAACTACTGACTCTTGAGTTTCCTTGCACCAGCAAGATTGACCTTCTAGTATGGCAGCTGGAGGCAGAAAGAGTATACAAGTCAGTCAGCTGCTGTGGTTGCTAGCAAACCTATTAGAGCATGAAAATCGCTGGCATGAGCTCCTTGTTTTCTCAGTCCAAGGTTCCTTCCATCCAGCAATGTTGACAGGTAGAACCAAAGTGGCAATGTAGTTTCAAAAAGAATTGATTCATTTATGTTGACTGTAAATATTCTGGTAACCATGGATGTATTGTACCCATTGGCTCTCTAGTACTCTCTGGTTCACAGACTCTTTCATTCAACCGAGTTCTTCCGTGTGATTTCATACACTATTTCATGCATACTCTCCCCTCAAACTCCTCCCCAGATTTTCCCTGGAGCAGGGGCAAGCCAGAACACATGTTGCTTCAGCCTTAATTGCTGTTTGTTCCTTTTGCATGTGTGGTATTTTTTTTTTAAATTGCAGTATCTTTGACTTAAGGCAGAGGTCCAACTGGAGCAATAAGACAGGGAACTGTATCGTCTCAGTGGATGGCTTTGTTCCACAGAGGAATGCCCACCCCAAACGTGTTCTTCACTCACATTACCCATGTTATAGTCTGTTTTCTCAGATCCCTATTCTTATCTTTTTCTTTTTACTCAATTCAAATAAGTCAAATTCTTTCCTTTTCATTCAATAAAAACAAAACAAAACAAAGTCCCCAAGTGTGCACACTTCTTATGAAGGTTCTTTATATACTTAAAATTTAATTTATAAATTCTTATAATAAAATACTTTTCTCTTATTGGATAAATTATGTTTTCTATCATGTGCATCAGCTCTTTAGCTACAAATGGATAAAAGGATTTAAAAATCAATTAAATGCATTATAGTGGGGTTGAGAAAAACTCATCCACCCTTTTTTGACACACCCAGGTTCTGAACAAATCATCCCATGATCAAGGGTAAAGTAATGGGAAAAAAAAGTGTAGTGTTATGACAAAAAAAAACGTCAAATAGGG